TATTAATAGTTTGTAATGCACTGAATGTACTATATAAACAATGATTGCATGACGAATTCCAATAGTGTATTAATAAACTCGCCACAAAAAATATCAATGTTTTTTTCTTTTATGATTTTTTTACTACAGTTTCTAATAATATTGCGGAAAGCTTAAGAACCATTCTTATGGAAAATTAGGTACAAAAAGTCCTATTAAACCATTTTGGACTCCTCCTTGAAACTATTATTTTCCTCCTGTGAATTATCAAGGCTGTGCCAATAGGCTGGCAAGGCACCTATGTATTATTCGAAGGTAAATTAAAGTGTAAACTGACCTATGGTAGGACTAATAGTAAAGGCCAGGTGATCAGTGACGTAATACATGACTTCAGAGGGGGAGGGGGCTGTCAGGAGTGCTGCTAGATTGATCACCCAAGTGCTTGATGTATGTCATTGATCTTAATTCTTTACTGAGCATCCAGTTGTTCTACACCAAAACATTTCTTTCACAGAATATGTATTTATTGGGAATTTCTCCCTATAATATAAAATCAAATCAAACTGGTAGTGATATATTATGTTTAGTCACATATACAGTGTGGTAATATATTTACAGATCTGTTTCATTAATTTATATTTTATTATACATAGCCTACACATACTTCTTGTCATCAATACTAAGAGGACTAAACCTAATGTTCGTCTTCAGCCCCAAAAAGTAGTTAAAGGGTTGCTATTTTTGGGTCACATAGCCCCAAATCTAAAATAAGATTAAAGGCACACATGTGGTTTTATACTATCTTAGTTCAAACTCAATGTAGGAAAAACATACAATTAATCAAAATTATAAATAAATGTCTAGCACTATTTAGAATTTGTAACCAAGAACAATTTGCCAAAAATTTTTGAACGTGTGCCAAACACTTAATGCAATTAGATCAATACTGATATGTGTTGTGGTTTAATCTATAAAAAATCGTTTACTCTGATTAAATTCAGATGATGAAATAATTAAAACTATCGAACCAAAATGTTTTGAGATTACCTATATGTATATTTAATTTTAGATCAATGATTCAATTATTTATTAGGCCACTAAGCAAAGCAATAGGCTAAGTCACTTACAATACATAGTAAATAATAAATAGAAAACAAAACGCAAGTTAGATAAATATAAAATTAAGTGTTAGATAGTTAAATCTGTAAGTGATTAATTAATTCATCAACTGATTTATTATTATTAAGTTTGTTAGTAAATATTCTGTTTACATTGATGTGTTTAAGAATTAAATAAAATGGTTCTTTTGTATTTTGAATATCATTTAGTGTAATTCTATATTAAATAAAATGGTTCTTTTGTATTTTTAATATCATTTAGTGTAATTCTATATTAAGGAAACAAACAAAACCATTGGATTAACAAACTGAAAACTTCTGCAATATGATGGTTGGTAATTGGCGCATTTATATATGAATTAAAAATAATTCACCTTAGTAATGGTAAATCACGATTAGGCCTGCTCATCAAGACACATGTATCTAAATTCCTTTGATTACAATTAGCGATTTTTCGTATTAAACAGCATTTGAAGTAAAATAATAAACACCACATTCATAAGAGAAATTATAATTTGATTTATTTTCAACCAAATAAAGAATTTATAGCAAAACTTAAGGTAGTTCATAGTTCCAACTTGTTGGAAAGTTCCTCTTTAGGTTTAAACGTCAAACGTCATTTCCAAATTTGGTTGACTGACTCAAGTGGTTTCGTTTAATCAACCTTTGTACTAAGTCCCCTGTGTCAGTGTACCTTATAAAAATACCCCCGCCGCAGCAAACCTGCCGACTAAGCGAATTTCCATTTGTCTTAATTGATTTTCAATTAAATATATTTTAATAACATTAGGTTTAACCAGTACCTAGGTTTGCTGCTACAAGGAAACTAATAAAGTGTGTTTTTTTTGTAAAATATTGATAGCTTAGTACAAAAAAAAAATATTTGATCAAAATACAAAATATATCCATAAACAAGCAAACTACAACATTTGACAATATTCTCCATAAGAATAACATGGGAATTTTAAATTTACAATTTTTTTTAATTTTCTCCATTACTATTAACCGAACAAAAATACTTTTATATACTAAATTAATTGTTTTTTTAAGCTCTTTAAAAAGGTCTCAAGAGAAATTGGGAAATTTTGTGTTTTGAGGGTCAAAAGTGAGAAAAACCAATTTTTACCCCATAAAACCCCCCGTAAAGCCCCGTTCCCATGGTCCGATCATGCTGGTTCGCGAACTCATTCAAGTTTATCCCGCTTTACACCTTTAAACCAAATTTCATCAAAATCGGACAAAAATTACTCAAGTTATCGCGTTCACGGACGTATATATATATATATATATATATATATATATAAGTCTATATATATATATATATATATATATATACATATATAAAAATTTGAACGAATGGTGTTTTTGGCCTCTGGGAACATCAAAATGAAAAAGTAAATCGGTCCCGGGTCTAGGTCTTACCGTGCCACCTACGGTAATAGCTACTTCCCTATAGGGAAATTCGCTAAAAGCAAACTAAGAGATGATGTTTGAAAATATACATGAATTATATACCCATTAACAATGAATACAAACAAATGACATGAACGATCCACCTAGAATTTGAGAAATATCTACATTTTCCTTTGGGTAAAGAAGTATCACTTACACTAGAATGTTCAACTACCGAAGAGGAAGACAGATTGTACAAATCGATTGAACATTTATCTTCTAATGCAGTGACGTTGTCGACTCTAACTCTCCGAAAAGTCTGAGAAGCTTTAAAAGGATCTTGACAAAAAGTCGAATGGTATAGAATTTTAATGCATGGTTTGATTACATGAAAACAACCAACAATTATGAATTGTATTTGTCCTATTAGGTTAGTTTTCATTTGTTTTTTTAATACGCAAATATAGAATTACTTTTTACATAATTATCTTGAATTGGTTACAAAACAAGAAGCTATAGAAAATTATATACACAGAAAATTACAGAAGATAGCTATAGAAAATTTAATTGAACGCAATGAACCAGAATCAGTCTTAATATTAATTAATAATATTAATAATAATATTTAATGAGTATTGAATATTTATTTAATATTTACATAGACTATTCACTACGTTACATATAAAGTTTTTAGCAAAATGCAATCCATTATTCGCAATCACGATATGCTAAGTCTGAGATTATGTAATCTCAATTTCGAGAAGATTATAGGATAACCAATTATACCAACGATGATGGCGAGAGTGCCCGAAAACCACAAACAGGGATTTAGCATTGAGAGGTCGGACTGCACTGAACTTCCAATCCTCCAGATTAAAACTTGATTTCGCGGTTGACCAAACATTTTGGCAAATCAACCGTCTCGTTTTTATAACAACTCTGAATGAGTTACACAATGGAGTTGGATGACTCCAAAAGTACCGCCAAAAAATTGATTTAATAAGCTGTAAACTCAGTTAAGTTTAGTAAACTGTTCACTCGTGGAGAAATAGTTAAACACCCCTTTCTCTGGTTGATGGGGGTTTCTTGAATGTCATTTGCTTATTCTTATACACCCCTTGTAAAATTGTTTCTTCAATGTTTGCAATAAAGTTTTGTATCAAATGTCTTTACTGTCGTAATAGTTGAAGCTATGGCTACAAATGCCATTGGTTTTATTTTAGTGTCATACAAATATCATATTACATGTATTATTTTTTTCACTCCACATAATTTTCAAATTGTATTAAACACGCTTTGAATTTAAGAAGTAATACTATGTGGTGTTACCACTACTCTGTGGCATTGAGTCGTCGTTAAGTTGTCGTATTATCTACAGAGAATCGTGTTGATTCATTAGACGAAAATCAATTTTCCTTATGCCAGAGCGATCACTGTGTTCTGATAACAATGTCAAACTTAATTGTCAATATTTATCCAATATTTGAAATTGATTGTAACAGCATTTTCGAAAATCTATATAAACTTACAACCCATTTTCCCCTGTACTATAAAATAGCTTTATGATCCTAACAGAACAACGATAAATGCGTATAGATCAGTCAAAGGTTGATGTTCGGTAGGCTATAAATAGAAACATATCGTAATGTATACTTAGGCTGTTACGCTGACGATGATGGCTTAGGCTGATCGACAAAGACTGGTGATAAAGACGTATTCAAAGACGGGATAATGCTGCTATATTTGTTATATACGTGCATTTATGGGTAAACTATTAGTTCAAAAACACCATGAATGAACTCAAAAACTAAATTCTACAATCTTATTAAATACTCGATGACTGAACACGTCGTTATATGATATGATCATCGAATTGACCATCCACCCATTCGTGGAGTGGAATGAGTGAAGAAGTTTTGGATTTATATTGTTGTGGTTTATCAAAGCTCTAAATATTTCTCAGAATTCTCTGGTGTAGTAACATTTCAGCCAAACGCAAATTTCTTAGAAAAACAGTAACACTTAATATCACCCGCTTTTACAATTGATTAAATAAGTAACATTTCGGCCGACGAAAAATGTACAAGGGCTGGGGAACACAACGGTCCACGACCTGTATACTTTGCAACCTCCTGACCTAACCTTACCTGACCTATCCTAATCTAACGTAACGCAGTTTGTGGTGGGTTAACTTTAAATCTAATGCATTTTTTTTTGTTCATACGTGTTAGTTTTTCACCATCCTCCCAAATAGTTTGTGAAGTCCTGTCAAATATTTTTTGGGACGAAGTGTTACTAGCTGTATTCATTGTTAATAGTGAGCAGGTATAGAGTTGGACCCCAGGCCACATCTGAGGATTTCGACCCGAAATGTTACTGGGCCGAAGTGTTACGGCACGAATTTTCTTACCCCAGAGCCTTTAGCATCACATTTTCATGCATATTAACATCAGTTAACCCCCCCCCCCCTCCTTGGTCCTATTTCTACGAAAATACATGTAAATCACTAACCTTAGTATAAACACCGGCGCTGCTAAGTTCGTTCTCAATCACCATGATGATTATGCCGAACATCCCCATGACCAAGGCGTAGTCACTGATCCTCTTGCGTTTCTCGAACAGCGCCTTCCGTCGGCCCAGACGATAGCCGACGTTCGGTTTGTGCTTGCCGTTCACGTTCCCGCTAGATCCTAGACTTCCTCCCTTGCAGATGAGAGCGCCTCCGATAGCCCGCTCCTCCGTGTACTTGGGATACTCCGAGTGTATCCCGACCAATGCGATGCCTGCTTCCTCCTGACTACTCTGGCCGCCGGACCCTCCCTTCATTGCTCCCGGGATGGACAACGTGGAGACTGGCTTCCGGAGCTGAAACAGAAAAGAGAACGTTTTAGAGAAAGTTAGGTTTAGATATATAGCCTGTGTAATCCAACCTGGCTCTTGACTCTTCGTCAACATGGGACTGGCTCGAGTCTTAAACCCACAGCCTTCAGGTAGACGGGTCAGAGAGTCAGAAGGTTATACCATACAGACTATTTACATGGTATACTATTCGAAGCACATTAACATACAGAATGTTTAGTACAATACGATGGTTGTTCATACTAATGAAAGTAAAATTCAACGTAAGCCACCATGTGCTACGTAAGCTATATAGTTAAGAACTACGTAAGAATGGTTTCTTAAGTTCACTTAAGGTTTTTTTTATAGACGACAAATTGTGATACATGTACTTTTATCAATCGCGAAAGGTTAAATATAAAAGTTGTAGGTATTGTGGTAGGTATGTTGTAGGTAAACATTTTAAGATTTGTACATGGAATAGACAAGGAAAAGATCAGAAGTTCAATCTACATTATAGAGGGAAATAGTGCTGTGGAGTCATAGTCATGGTTTCTGAATCAGCAGTCATACTGAAAAGCTTTGGCATAAATTTAATATGTATTAAAAGTTGTAGGAACATTATTTCTGGAGCAAGGACAGGCTAAAATACAGTTTGTCCTTGGAGTATGTGGTGAGTTAAGTATATGAATAATAGGGAAGCTATTTGTTAATAGCTCTGCAAAGATTTGTTCCCACATGCTTTTGATGTTTAAAAAAAATGGATACCATTGTTTTACTCATATTGCTTAATTAAAACGACTCAATCTCTAAATACTTGATATGTGATGTAGGTGAATTATGTTTGATAACTATAATCTTCTACCGTAATATAAAACACAGCTAGAAAGAATGACCCACCAAAAACAAAACTATAAGGCCAAGAGATGTGTTTTTACGTATACAAATAAATCAATCATCAATAGTTTTTAGGATCACCACCTTGCTTGTACTTGTTTAATTTGGTGAGGTTGAGATACTTAAAACACATTTTCGGCAATTTTTGCAAGCAAGTTAGTACTTATATGAACTTGTACTTTTTCTAAAAAATTTATTAGTTTTTAAAACAAAGAAAATAAACTGAGAAATAACAAAGAAAGGCGTAAAAAGTACACGTCCAATTTCTCACAATTATCAACAATGGAGGTTGGAAAACAGTGCGCAATGGGCATTGTTTAGACTGTAATTAACTACTTGATTTACGGAACACGCTGTAGACTGACCCAGCTAACCGAGTGGAAGCGATTACACCGTCCGCAATCTGCTGGAAATGGATCTCGTTTTAATAATTTGTCCATGATGAATTGCAAACGGATTGAACAGTACCAGCGCCGGTCCGCTATCAATATGGTAACCATAACATTAACTATTCGATACTGGGACTGGTACGAGTTTTGTTCATTTGTTGATTCCAATTTGTAATTCAAACACATGTTACACATGTTATAGTATGCTTTTATGTAAAAGACAGGCATTTGTGAAACTAAGTGGACTGCCGTAGATACATTTTTAAATATTTATAGAGAATTATATTTTGGCATTTTAAACCTGTGTTTTCTTCTGAATTTCTAATAAAATATTGAATAAACAGAATACATCATGATTCTCAATATTTCTCCTACGGTTGAATTATTGGCTTACTAAAAATAAATGGTTATTAGGAACTAGCTTACTGAACTGAGCTAACATTTTTGTGCTTTCACAACTACGAACTCACGCTGCATAATAATTGTGGTTTGTTTTTTTACATTTCTAGCTGAGAGTTGGACAATTTATAATATTTGGACCACAATAATAATGGTTATATCTATGCTATTTATTATCTCACCCACCTTGACCAGCGTATTCACAAGTTTATCTGTGGCACTTTAAAGTGAGATGCGATTAAAATGAACAATGTCATTAAAACGCCGTAGTATCAGTATGATACCGGGTCATAAATTATACGACCGGTCGAATAGAGAAGGAGATCACTACAAAACACTGGGTTGTAAAATTACAATGGTGAAATCTTTTTGATTTTTTTTTGTAGTTTGTTGTAGATGTATGGCCTGAGAAACAGTTTTTACTTTTGACGTCTAGAGAAATTTCTCAATGAAGGACAGGCTGAGCAGTATTTTTGTACAAATAAATAGTGAGAAAAATTAAAAAGATTAATGTAACTTACTTCAGATTAATTGTTCTCTTTGGAAGGTAATGTCTAAGCCAAGATGAAGCCGAAATATTGTGTTTTATAATTTATAATTGAAGTCAATAAAACTACATAAATGTTTTTACTCTTGGACTTTATTTATATGCTTACTTATATGGGCACATCCGAATTCTTTCTTCACTAAAAGTTTAAACTAATCGCGTTCGCCAACAAACAGAGTTAATACCTGTATTTAAGTTTCAATTATCGATCCTTACTTCAAATAAAACATTCGTTATTAAGTACAGTTCGAAACATTAAAAAGCGATTTTACTTGTTAAAACTGTATAAACACCTACTGCGAGTAGAATCGTGATGATCAAATTTTAAAATACATTCTGCTCGACAGCTTATTTATGTTTTAACATTTATGTACACCAATTTTGTTCATCCCACCTAAACAATGTACTAAAATTAAAAGCAATTACCATCTTCTATACTAAACTACGAACTAAAATTATTGAATGTCTACAAACCAATTAACAAAAATGGTTTATTAAAAACTTTGTACATTGTTGTCTTTAAATGAAACAAAATGGTAGCTAAAATATCAAGGATTCCAATCTCCAAAAAGTAATGTATTGAAAGTAAAAAAAAAATATATTTATAATCTCATTACATTTATTTTTTAATCAACACTAAAAACAAACGAGCCTTCAGATACATTTAGTAATTACTTGATTAGTGCAGGCCAAAGTAATTAGTGTAAAAAGCATTAGCTCGCCCTGTTAGAACTAATCGTCAGATTTACGGAGCACACTGTATATTAACTTGTGTAACAAAGTGGAAACAATTAAATCGCGGAAACCTGACCGAAATTTATCAGCATTATCCGTTGAAATTTGACAAAGTGTGTTTTAGGCTGAAAGTTGTCTGATAAAAACTCTTTTTTGTATTAAATAAAAACATTGGTATTGTATGCACTACTCAGTTTTTAAAAATCCGCAGCTATTAGTTGAAATACGATAGTCATTAATAAATGTACGTTTGATTGATTTTAACTTGTTAATAATGCAAAAATGCTCTACATATTTAATCAATACTAGCAACCAAACACAAATGTCAGGCAATGAATATGATGTTCAATCAATAATGCAACCGAAAAAGATAACACAGTTAACCTAATTTTGTGAACTAGATTATCGCAAACCACATTCAATTATCTTAGATAATAACACCGGTAAATACACGGCTTAGCCGGACTTATGTTGTTTATCACAAGCTTTTTACCCTAAACACCCTTCGTGAATACAAATATGTAACAATATTATCACATTCAATTAATGCAACCGCCATCCGAAGCAAATTTAAAAATAGATTGTTAGGGTAGTATAGTAAAAAAAATGAATTTTTATTTTAAGATTGATATACAAAATGCAAGTTTAGTTTTAATTTTTATTGAATCCTTTACATAATGAGCAATGTTTGCTTGTGTATGTACGCCTGCAAAAAATCTCGAAAACGGCTGCAAAGATTTCCTGGCGATTATTTCTGGCCTAAAAACGTGTTTAATGCAGTTGAAACTGCCAACAAAAATCTATTACGTAAAACAGTTAAATTGAAAATCTAAATTCTTTAACATTGACCTTATGTGCTGCCAAGTTGGATGAACAAAATGACAAGGGAAAAGTAAACAAAAGACTTCTAACATGCGTGTATAACAAGCCATTCAACAGTGTACTATAACTACTACAGTGTAGTATACAGTGTATAACAGTATACTAGCAAATTACAAAATACAGTTGAAAGGGAAAACCATCAGTTGTTACTATTGAGCAATGAAGATTACTCGATGATATAGGGGTACAATTTTTTATTTTTGAAAGATGTTTAATAATGCCTGAAAGTTTCAATACAATCTGTCGAGAAGTCCAGAGTCAATAACGTATATACATACAAACACACATACATACATTCCTCTTTTATAGATATGGATGGGTTTGACTATGACAAATCATATGCTTTCTCTACTGTTCTCTACCATGTGCATTATTTATCAGTCAAAGAGCCAAAAATACAACAACGAATGCTAAAATAATCTTACAAATTTTGTACGAAATCTTTATATATATTACTATAATACCAGTGAAAAAGAAATAATCTAATATACAATGGTCACGCTTAAGTAAATAATTATTTCACTCAGATGATCCAATTTAGAACATAATTAAATTGATCTGTCTTGTTTTAAATTACTTAACACAATTAATTAATACAAATGGAATTAGATAGAAAAAAACGATGAAAGCCGTGAGATGGTGGCCTTGAAGCTGGACAGTCGTTAATCTTCTGAAAGATTAATGAAAGACCTCCAGGGACGAGATTTGCCATTGGCTTAAACTCACGACCAATCTTATCATTGCAGTGAGTGCTAAATAATGTAGTGCTGTACCAAAGTCAATGAATATTTAGGGTATTTTGTCAAACTAGATCAATTGAAATACATTTTAGGGATTCCTGTATTTGTTACCTAAATGTCCGTGTTTTGCGTGTGTAATATTTGCGTGCCTTAATATATAAGGCCTTAATATATTAATTGACAGCCTTTAAATGAAGCAAGGAGACATCTTAGTACTTGCATGAGGATGACTCTTATGTCGGACTCGTGGTTGCCACAAAGCAACAAACCAGATCACATATATGCAGGTATTTTACTCCAATTATTAGTAATTCTTGTAAGTTTAAATTGTTTATTACCGTGAATAACGCAAAACGCAATGTTCTTACATATTTTTCATCACATTGATACTCTGTAAACGGTTTTTATGAAGATCATAATACTACAGTAAATTACTAT